GGTAATTAATTTTAAAAAAGGTTTAATTGACTCATAGTTCTGCATGGCTGTGGCGGCCTCAGGAAACTTACACTTGTGGTGGAAGGGGAAGCAAACATGTCCTTCTTCACATGGCAGCAATAAGGAAAAGTGCTGATCAAAGGGAGAAAAGACCCTTATAAAACCATCGGATCTCATGAGATTTTACTCACTATCATGAGAACAGCATGGGAGTAACTGGCTTCATGATTCAATTACCTCCCACCATGTCCCTCTCATGACACTTGGGGATAATGAGAACTACAACTCAAGATGAGATTTGGGTGGAGACAGACCCAAACCATATCATAAAGTCTCTGCATCACATCAACCAAAATAGAAACTGAAGCATGTCCTGCATCTTCTTGGCACCCTTATGAATTAATGATCATGACAAAGCAAACACAACTGAATAATCTGTTTTTCACTGGGATATGGAATTCAGTATAACCTGAAGTTCCCTTTAAACTGTGGTATTAGAAATAAGCAAAGTCCAAATATTAGATAGTCCATTTGCACAACTGAAGAGAAGAAGAATTACATAGATATAGCTACTAATTTTATTTAGGAATATAAATTAACTAAACATCTTATTAATATTTCTATAGCAGACTTTCAGTAGTAATTTTCCAATAGATTTTAGGGTACTGAAACCATGATGATTTGAGATGTTTAAAAATAGATAGCAAAATATTTTCAATCCCACTGTATATTAACCTATATACTGCAACACAAGATGATTTGTTTCATTTTCAATAATTTTTAAAATGTTTAAACATGAAAACAAACACATGACTGAGTAAAATGGAAAAAAATAAACATGCAGAATAGATATAGTGTGATTCCATTATTATAATATCTATGCATATATAATAGATAGGCATATATCATACACATTCCAGATGATGTTTATGATATATTACATATATCCCAGATAGAAATATTGAGGAAATAATTCAAACTAAACTGTTGAGACTACTTACAAAAATGGCATTTGAGAGGGCAGATATTTGATTTTTAATTTTCAAATATTAGTTTTACTTAAATTTACTACAATGAATGTGTATGTTTTTATAATTTAAAAGTAAATAAAAATGGCTCTGATTTATATTTTAGATGTTTCCATTTTATTTATTCAATGTATGCTTTGTAATATGTATATTTTGAGCTTCTTGGAAGCATTCAAAATAGAGTTATTTTAACAATTTCAAGGCTTAATAAATGCTGTTATTTTTCTTCAGCATACATGTGAAACATCTATAGAGCTCAGCTTCCCTGCTTGTTTATAAACACTCAGAGGACCCTGGTGTGATCAGTGGCATCATTACATTACTGCTTAATAACACATGCTGTTGATACATTAATTGCTTTATTGACTATTTAAAAAGTTTATGACCTCATCTGCATTCCAGTTTGACCTTGTTTTGCACTTTCTGAGTGAATTGCCACATTCAACAACTTATGTAATATGTATTATACTAATAAATTTATAAAATGAAAAAAGAGAGCTGATAAGCACCTCATTTTTTTAAATCAACTAAGTCATTGTTAGGTAGACTCTATGGTACAGCTTCATGATTAGAAAAGATATTTCAAATTTTTGTAATTTTCTTTTAAATAATAATTACCAGATGAAAAGGATGGGCAGTATTCTCACGGTTTGAAGCAAGGGAAATGGCTCTTAACTTCATACAGATGTCTTATTTGAAAATGACAAATGGATTCAGAATGTGCTCCTTGACACCATAAATAACTGTTCAAAATAATATTTTAAGTGGAAATTTTAATAATTTAGTTTAGTTTTTGTTTTTATTTTTTGAGACAGGGTCTTGGTCTGTTTCCCAGGCTGGAGTGCAGTGCTAGAATTATAGCTTATTGGGCTCAATAAGCTCTTGGGCTCAAGTGACCCTCCTGCCTCAGCTTCCCTAGTAGATGGGACTAAAGTGTGTGGTGCTATGGTCAGCCAACATTTGTTTACTTATTGTAGAGACAGGGTCTGACTATATTGCCCAGGCTGTTCCGAAACTCCTGGGTTCAAGTGATACTTGGACCTTGGGAACTTTTATTTGCAAAACCCAAGTAAAATCTTTGCTTCCTAAGAAATGAAAGTTGACTGGGAAATGTTTCTTAGTTAATTGAGGCCATAGAAATTTGGTTAGGATTGCAATATGAAAACTAAATCTTGTATTTTACAGGTAATCTTTTAACACATAGTCTGATGTTTACATAATAAAATATCGCTTTTGGCATGTTTTCCAGTTTCCCTTCCTTTTCTACTCTCAAAACTCTGAGGAAAATGAAAACAACAGCTCCTTAATGCTATTTATCCTCATAAGCACAAAATAGCATGTTTGTGAATTTTACATTCTAAGAGAAGTTGGACAAGGTATTACATTCCATAGCAGAAAGGATGGCACAGACTTTGGGATATTTATTGAGTTTTCATCATTGGAGAGTATTGCCATATAAGGTTGTGATTGCTTAAATGGTTTAGAAAGTGGACACGCAAAGTGTTTCCCAGATGGAATGTAAATGAAAGAACCTGGAAAGCATGCAAATGAAAGAATGAGGAAATAATTAGTGGAAATTAGAATTTCAGAGTTTGATGCAATAGGGACAGTCATATATTCTTATTTATTTTTACTGATGAAGAAATGGACGTCTAGAACAATTAGATGACTTGTTCACAGCTTCAGAATTCATAGTTAGTGCAATGGTGATGTGAAACTAAGAGGTCTTGCTGCTCTTTATCCAGGGCGTTATTACTGATTGCAATTACAGAAGACTGTGGAAAGCCAATGAAGACAATCAGACGATGTGCAAAGTTGCTAACACATGAAAGAGATGTAATTTCTTTCATATGCTAGAAATTTCATATTAGAGATATTCATGTTAGAGATATTCACATGCAGCAGACGTGTTTGGAGCACAACATATGCATTAAGCGACAACTGGAACTAACAGAGTCTTAGAGGAGGGTGAGTCTTAGGGGTGAGTCTTAGAGGTGAGTCTTAATGGAGTCTTAGAGGAGGGATTTTGGGGGCAGGAATTAAAGATTTACACTCCATTAAAGATTTACACTCCATTCCCAATCATGGTGAATAAGTATTGGAATAAATATTATATATGTTACAAATCATGAATTCATTGTGATTTCAATTAATATAATGTGGAGCAGCTGGGATGTGGAATATTTTAAAAGTCATTTTATAGATGAGTTTATGATTATCACTCATTAAATTAGCTAGAAATATTTTCCACATCTGGCCCACCAAAATCCCCAAACTTATGAAGTTAGAAAGTCACATCACTATTAGGAATAGAAAAGTTCCTTCACGCAGAGATTGTAGCCATTAAATGTATTAAAATTTAATTTTATCTTTCCAATGGTTTGCTTCCTATGCTCATACAAATACAATTATTTGAGAAACAGAATAAAATGTATTCCTTATCTAATTTTGTCAAGTAATGAATGTCACTTCTTGATTGTAGAAATAGCACTTTATGAAATTACTCCATGATCTCAAGTCTTTTTTTCACTCAACCTCTTTACCAGGAAGACTCTCATCTCAGCTTCAGCTCTAAATCACTTTATTCATGAATAATGAACTAATGATCCTGTGTACTTGTGAATTATTTTAGATATCTAAATTATTGTTAAAATTTACATTCTCACTTTATGTGACAGAATGTCTAATTGAATAGGCACTTGGTATAGCAGCCACTTCCTCAGACTCTTAGAGAATATTAAAGAACAGAGTGAGGTATTAGCAAAACGGGAACAAAAAATTCAACAAAAAGGGATATTTCCTCAGATTAACAGCATTTTTACCTGCACTGTAGAACAATTAAGAATTACTATTCTGCTAAATGCCTAGGCCATTTTCTTAGAAGAAACAAATAAGCACTCTGTAATAGCGCATTTCAAAGACAGGTAATAAAATTTTCAGGCCATAGCAGTATAATAAATGTATCATTAACTTTTTGTAACTAATAAAGATATTTAAGATGCAAGAAAAAGTGTTTTGGGTTTCTTTGTTTTGTTTTTCTGTAATTATCTGCAAAATTTTTAAAGGCTTAGCAAATTTTAATAATAGTCCAGTGAATGACCCCATTAATCTAAAGGCTAAACTGGATGAAGCCTAAATAACCATCTTGTATGTCTTTATATCTTGAGTGGTAAACAAAATAAAATTCTACAACTTGGAATATTTTAAACAATCACAAGCAACAAACTCCAAGCATTAGCTATGCCTGGATTGGTGAAAACTTGAGTGACAGTAATTGTTAATGCAGTTCATCATCTCTCTCTCTTTCTTTCTCTCAAAGTAATATAACATTTTTCATATTCTAAAAGAATATATTAAGCAAATATAAGAACCTACATATACATATACATATAGGTTAGGTTCTTACATTTGCTTAATATAACAGATCCTTTTTTATATATAAAATAAATCATTAAATCATATTATTGTATATACTCATATATACAGAATATATATATCTTTTTATATATAAAAGACATATAATATATAAAATATATACATATATACACATATATAAGCATATACATAAATATACATATATATAAAATTCAGTGACAAAATTGATAGCAATTTCTCACTTCACAGATGCACATCTCTGAAGAGGGTAAAGTAGATGTTGCCACACAGAATTTCTAGTAATACTAAGATTTATGTTTACTTAATTTGATGTAATCATCATCCAGCAGATAATCAATATATTTCCATCTTCCAGCTCCTACTTATCCAAATTTTTGACAAAAATGTTCCATGTTGTTTATAACACATAAGTTTGTCTAGTCAACAATATGCTTACTACATAAAATATCCATGAAAATAGGACCTGAGCATTATCTCTCCATCAAGTTTGGTTTCCTTGTTACTGTTTAATGTTAATTTTCTTTTCCAGAAGGCTCATCTGAATATATTTTTAATATTAGGGTTTTTTCTTTAAAGGACCTCCTTGACTCCAGCTTGCCAGTTATACATCTCATCTGGACCAGAGTTGGTAATATATTTTCTTGTTATTTTTCTGTGAGACAGTGTCCTGAATCTGTCAACAGTCCATAACTTATCTCTATATATAACAGAATTAAGAGGGAGCTCCAAGACATCAGCAGGTGTAAGCTCAATTTTGTTAGATCAATCCAATACTATCTAAAAACTATAAATAGAGAAGAGTAGATGAGACACATTTTTTTTCCATTGTCCAGTGGACAAGAGCAAGGCTAGGAGACATTATAAAGTAATTGATCATGTATGTCAAGACCAAGAATATATGAATTATATAGCCTTACCAAAATTAACTGTCTCCTATATATGTTACCAAAAGGTTACAAAATAAGAAAAAATACATATTAAAGAATCATGAGAGACCTCAAAATAAAATTACTTTCTCCAGTTACATAATATTTTTGAAAGCATAATTTTGATTTCTTTATATACAGAATCCTTTATTAATTCAGTTTTCTTCAAATTTGACTTATACATTGCAATTTCATTTGATTACTTTTTAATTCCATTAACATTTTCACCTGAACTCAAGCCTGAAAAATAATTTTGAATGAAAATTTAGAATGAAGTTGATGTGAAAACAAACAAACAGAACCCGAAGCAAAATGAATTCTGTATTTCAGAAGTAAAGCATGCTTTTCATAAAGGAAATAAAATATTTTCCTCCAGGGAAAATAATAGTGTTTCAATGAAAGATACTAATAAATTTCACTAGCATAAATATAAATGGAAACAAGAAAAAGAGGTAATATAAAAATCATAGTACATATTCAAGATATTAAGAGAAGTCTCATGCATTAATATTTAGGAAGGTAGATAAAGATAGATTATCATGTTTAAGTATATATATATTTTTAATTTAAGATCATATTCTTCCAATTTGGTGGTAGTTTAAAGTTTGTATTTGATAAACGGTGTTTTGTCTAATGCTGCAATGAAAGGCAGTTTCATATAGTCCAGATTTTTTGATAAATATATTAGGATAATGACCAGTAACCTCTACATAATGTTTTCTGACTGTTGACCTAGCAGTGAGAAGATTATAACCAGAGGATTCTGGCAGAAGAAAGGCAGAAAATATTCCCTTAGAAAAACAAATGTTTCGATCATCTCTACTGATAGATGCACTCTTCAAATATTTTCTGAGTACTTACTGTGTTTTACATCTATGCTAGCGGTGAGAGTACAGTGGAGGAAAGGTACTGCCACTCTGTCAAGAACCGGCTATGGATCTAACATACTGGGGAAACCACCCACTCCAGCAGAATGATGCAACTTGAAATTCGTACCAAGTCTTCAGAAAACCTGTTTGCTTTCCTTGGCAGTGCACCAGCCTGACTCCATCTAAACAATGGTCTTCTCTTTAACTCCTGTTCCTCTTTTGTGATATTAATTCATTTATTCTTTAATATATGTCAACACACTTCTGTTGGAACAGGAGTTCTTTTAATTTTGGAGCTCTTTTTAATTTGTTTCCACTTCACAATTCCCTGACATTCTTAGATAATTATAATGGTTGGTAAAAAAAAGAAATACATATATATATATATATATATATATATATATATATAGGCTAATTGATTACTTATTTCAGATATAAAACTCTGAACAAGTTTGAACTAGTCACACCAACAAACTGAACTGATAAAAATGCCTGCCTTAGAAGACAAAAAATAGCACAGAAGAGAAAACAGGCCACAGAATTTCCTCATTAAGGATCTTCTAGGGCCAGAGTATATCATATTATTGTCTATCAGTTGTATTTATTAGCATGTAATTCAGAGATAAAGAATGAAAGTGTTTCATCACTTTAAGCTCTGACTCCTAAAAAAAAAAAAAAAAAAAAAAAAAATCCTCCTTAAAAAAAAAAAAATGATCCTGAATAGACTACATCTGAAATGTAAAATAGCAGCAAAGAAGAAAATATGTCTGGCCATAGCATAAATGAAGGAAATGTTTAACATTAAAGTTAAGACAATAAAGTTTAAATTTCCCATGAAATGAACTCTAGAGGGGACAACAAATAATTTGCAATCTTCATGAAATGACTCGTCTGATGAAACAGAAGTATTGCTAACACTAGTTATCATTTGAGTGATTACACAGAAACACTTAGTTTTTATGTCATGGAATACATACTCACCATTTATGAAATATATATTTTAAAGAACAAATGAACACATTAAATTTAAAAATAATTAACCAAGAAAATGGTTGTATTTATTTTCCTGAATTTACCTTATGCTTACTTGGGATACTGAATATGAAAACGTGATATCAATAATTCTAACTTCCTAAAAAATATTTGCTGCTCGTAAGAGTAATCATTTCAGAAAGCAAAATTATTAGTATGATGATAAAATAAATGAAAAGAACTTGGGTAGCTTCTCTGCTTTTTACCTGAGGCTTCTCATTTACTTCGAAGGAACAGGGAGTGGGGAGGCTGAATTAGTGGACCTTCCTACCAATTTGCACAAGGATGATAAATAGAGAAAAAGATTCAAAGTTTTGGCCACTATCTTACTATTTACTATTTACTTCATCCTCCTCACACTTTGGTTTAAAATCCAGGACAGGCACACGAAAGCTAACAAGGGTGGGAGCAAAGCAATCAATGAGTGAATAAGCTGTGAAATAATCTGGTAGGAATCCTGATTTAGAAAATCATTTTTTTTGAAATTATGTATTTTATAATAAGATATGTAAAATAGTTTCAATGACTTGAGATAAATGGGATCAGAATTCCATAATCATTCAATTATATTAAGTCCCTTTAGTAGCTAGAGGGAAATTGGATTTGCTGATTGACTGATTGATTGATTGTGTATGGCATTTGCATCAGCCGAGATCTAGTTGGGAATATAGAGAGCACGTTAGTTGTTTAAACAGAGAGAATTTAGCATGGGGAATTGTTAATTGATGGAGGAGTAAGGGTACAAATAAAAAGTGAGAAAAGTAAAGAAAGTAAAAGGACACTGATGTAGCCTAGCAATGAAAAATTGCGAGAAAAACTAGAATACCTGTATAGCTTAGGAAACAAAAGGAAAGGATTCGGGGTTATCAGAAACTAAAAGTCTGGCAGAGAGCCCTATGGAATTAGGACTCAGCCTTCTGCAGAGAGGAAACTGACTGGCCACTCTTGATAACTCCAAGGGGTAGTGATGAGACTAATTCCAGGAATGCAAAAAAGAAACCAAGAAACTGACACTGCAACCCGAAAATGGCTGCTGCCAGGATGAAGTGCCATTGCTGCGGCAACCCTGAAAGGAATGGCTTGCAAAGCCGGACGCAGTAGCTCCCCTCTCCCCAGCCATTCGGTCTCCCTCTAGCGTACCCTACTGGCCAAACTTAGTAAGAAGCCAGATGGCAAAGCGGATATGCAGAGTGCTGAGACTAGACCGGGAATCACAAAGCTGGTGGGTTTGGAGCTGAAAGGTAACAGCTTAAAAACTGACACTGACGTTTAATTAAGGAAATTAAGATGTGATAACTGATAAGAATTCTTTCATTCTAAATCAGAATATTATTCTGTGGAAAAAACAAGCTAAGGTACTGACTCCAGAAATAGCGCTGAGCCTGCCCAGAAACTAGATGGTTGGGGACTTCTGGAAGCAACAGAAAAGATGAAAATGTTCAAAGCACAATTTTGTCATCAGATCTCCTTTTTTGAGTCTCCTTTGAAAAGAATCACTTCCTCGGTGATTCAGTGACATTGTCTATAAAACTATACTGACTTTTTACCCTACTCAATGCTATATATAAATATAAGCCAAAACCACATAGGACCCGGCTATATTTGGTATGCCTCATCTATCATGGATAGTTAATTTGTGCATTCATCTTTTAAAACTAATAATGAATTTCTGAAACCTTTTAAACGGGCTTAAGTTTTGTAATCCATTTACTGAACATGCCTGCAATGAAAAATTAATTATTAAACAAGAGCTTTGGGAGGACATCAGCAGCCTTGTCACCCACGCACTTGATTGATAACATGTCAGTTTCCAGACCACGGAGGGTGCTGACAACTCTCAAATTTAAACCCGGAAGGGTAATGTTAAGCATGTCATGGCATAAGTCACATTTTTAAATTATTTTTTATTAAATGTTAGATAGAATAAATCCATCCATGCCTCTCAAACTCAGCCTGATTAAATGAGCTGGCACTCTTTCAAATGTAAAGCATGGTTATGGCTTCTCAAGGGCATCGGAAACGCTGAAGCGTAAGACACGGTAAATACAAAAGGCAAAAGATGTGGACAGTGATATATTCACAAGCACCATGGGCAAAGTGAGGTTTTTGAAAATGCTGAGGCTAACAAAACAAGGGCAGCACGGTCCCCAAATTGGTAAATGCACCTGCAGTGAGAGACTCTGCTTGAGTGCTGGTACATAAAAGTGTCCACCACTAAGGGGAAAAAAACAACAAGTAACAACAACAAAACCCTAAGAAACAGAAAGGAAGAGCTGTAACCAATTTTCAAACCCTAAGTTTTGAGGTTGGGTTAGGAAGTTAGAATTGTTCCATGTTTGTGTCAGTTCTACCCTTTACTTTCACAAAGTTAAGATGGTTTTCTGTGACTATAAAAAAAGAAAAGAACATCTGTTATAGTGTGTCTTCCTGTAGCAAAGACTACTGCTTCTTGAGTTTTTCTTCTTTCAGGCAAAGCTCAATCTCACTCTATAAAATGATTGAAAAATTATGTATATCAAATATACTCAAACAGTTCAGAGAGAACATATCATCTGCATTACTGCTGTCTAAAAATCCTCTGATATACTAAATTCAAATTAAAAGAACCTAAATGAAGAAAAGAATAATTTACTTAGACCCAACTGGGTCACAATATTTGAAAAATGATACAAATTATTTTCACTGTATATTATGTGTTAGCGTATTCACTTCATTTATTTTTTTTTTCAATAATTATTTGCAATTAACTGGGCTGATGGGCTAAACTCTCCGGAAGATACAAATATGTGAACAACACTGTCTAGTCTTGCATAGCTTTGTATTTAATGGGAAAATACAATAAAGGAAAATGTTCTGTCTTATCCAAGAGACACAAGGAAAGTGCTATGTAAACTGAAGCTTGGGTTCTCAGAGGAGGTTTCATTAAGAGAGTATCTTACCAGCAGGACATTTTACTGAATGTTACTATTTTTTGAGGTAGTTGGAGTACATTGGTGAATAGTTACCACTCTCTGATCTTGTGAAGCTTGTATTCTAGTGAGTATAGGCAAATAATATTCAATACACAGTAATAAATATGTTATATGACATATCAGAACATTAGTGTTAAAAAAAAAGAGAGAAAGCACAGGATAGTTGGGATTCTGAGTTCTTCATGCTGGGAATAAGTGATTATAGTTTTAATTAGGGTGGGTGAGATGGGCCTCACTGAGAAAGAGACATTTGAAAAAAGATTCTACTACATTCTTTCAACTTTTAAACTAAATAAATTTAACTGTTAAAGGAATAAGTAACTTGATATGTGAAGAATTTTAATAAGCATTGCTAGTGTGAGAGTGTTTTAAGAAAGGAAATAGCATCAACATTATAAATTAAGTTTATGTTTATGCTCAGAGCCTAGTACCAAACTGATATAGAGTAAGCACACAGAAATATTTACTGAATACATGTACAAATAAACTGATAGTATTATGAAATCCCCGAATGAATGTGACCAAATGTGAATAGTCCTATTTGGCTAGCAAGTGTCTGGTTTCTTGCAGAATCATGAAAGGAAAAGCTAACGAGTTAGGTCAAGACCTTATTCCAAATGGAAAGTTAAAGGATTTTATAGAAAATTCAGTATAGAATTGAAAACTAAGTGTTCAGCATCAAGGAAGAAAAGAACAGAGAAAAAGTTGACAGGAATAGCATTGTGCTTTGAAGTAGTGGTTAAGTTTGATTAGATATGAAAGACACTGGAAATGTGGGAGGTGATTATTAGACTCCTAAATATTCCTTTCAAGAGATAACACAGACTTAAGGTAGGATTATTATATTGGAACTTGAAAACTGGGCTATATCCAAAATAAACTTATCCATTCATTCACTGAATCTTTTATCTAGGAAGTGTGTTCATTCATTCGCATTGCTATAAAGGAATACCTGAGGCTGGGTAATTCATAACGAAAAGAGGTTTATCTGGCTCATGGTTCTACAGACTGGACAAGCAGCATGGTCTGGCATCTACCTCTGGTGAGGGCCTCAGGAAACTTACAATTATAGCAGAAGGTGGTGGGAAGCCAGCATATCACATGGCAAGAGCAGGAGCAAGAAAGGGAGGGATAAGGTGCCAGGCTCTTTTAAGCAACCAAATCCTGTGTGAATTCAGAGAGGGAGAAGTCATTACCAGGA